GAAAGTTTTGCCGAAAGGAACTAACTCGTTTTATTAGAAAAGGATAGAATATCTACTCCCGTAGGAACCGCAGACTGACAATACTGACATACGATACAAAAGTAAGTCTATACATGCTACTGCTACTAGAGGGCGCGCCAAGTACGAATTTTTTTATTTTCGAGCTAATATTCACATATTGCCAATTGCTGTCCCTCTGTAATGTAATGTTGCAGAATCCCGGACTTGAAGTAGAATAAAAGTAGAGGGATAGTCATCTACGCGTAAATAAAGATTGTCTACATTGTGGTGTAAACAACGCCTGAGGTTGTTCCATAGACATGTTCGCAATACCCTGGAATTTCCAGAGAAAGGTTTTCGTTAAATGTTTAGACCGGACGTCGAAACTGCTCAGTCTTTTCACACAATTGTTGCATATTCTAGATAATGGTTCAATGACAACCAATTGTAAGGTTCTTTTCTTCACTTGGTTTGCTTTTCTTGTCACAAGGAAGTTACCAGAACCGGAAACCACTTGGTCGATTTGCAGCATCATCATACAAAGCAATGTTAGCTGTTATATTCATAAGGTGATGGTAGATGCACTTAAGGACAATTTCGCGAACTCGATTCCCCCAGAATCCCCAAGGAACAACCGTTGTACCAGATGCGTTTTCTACAAAATTTCGCATTTCACGAATAGCTGGTTGTATCAACGGTAGTCACATCAAAATTGTTACACCAACGCATTTTCAACTTGGTCACTCTACTGTCATCTTCATGAACAGATTTTTTTTTTATAGGACCAATTGTCAGCTAATTTTTGGTGTAAATTTGAAGATCTTTGCCATAAATGCACCCTATTCAAGTACCTAGTGTGGAACGAAGTTGTAGTCGTTAGGTCGATAACGACAACGAAAGCTAACGACTTTGTTACTGAATAGCTTTTCTGAAATTGGCGTTACCAAGTCAGTCGTTACGACAACGATATCGTTATGTAACGACAAGTTGCAGAATAGGCCTTAGGCCTCTTTATCTGTTTTTGATTTTAATCTAACCTCCTCCTTCCCATGATTGAAGAAAATTACACAGTCAGAAAGGAAACTCGTTTCTTTATATCTTATCGCTTCCTCTCTTGGGTCAATTATATTTTTCGTTCAGTAAATCTTGTCTTTAAAAACTACAACAAAAAATACTAGATTCTAAATTGCTGCGGCGAAAGCCGAGAACAAAAGAATCTCTGATTCTGATTGCTATAGTCCAGAGCTGGGCAGGGCTCGAGTGCTTTGTGCTTGTAAAAGTGCTTGAAGCACTTCGAGGGCTTGAAAGCCCTGTGCTTCAAGCCCTTTTACATATTTGTAATTGGGGCTTGCCAAGTCAATTACTTTAGAAAAGTGCTTGGTAATTTGTAATTGAAAAAAGTAATTCAAGCCCTTTCAATGAGCTTCAATTACTTTTAGAGGGCTTGAAGCACTTTTGGGAGCTTAAAGCACTTCCAAAGAGCTTGAAGCACTTTCAAAGGGCTTGAAGCACTTTCAAAGGGCTTGAAGCACTCTAAAAGGGCTTGAAGCACTTTGAAAGGGCTTGAAGCACTTTGAAAGAGCTTGAAGCACTTTAAAAGGGCTTGAAGCACTCTAAAAGAACTTTGAATTAACCATCATTTTACCTATCCCCCACCTAAAAATTTTGAATCGATGTGTTTTGTTGCTTAATTCTGTTATCTATTCTGTGTCGGAATGCTTACCGCATACCACCAAATTTTTTGATTGATATTTATCTAGAATCTAGATTTTCGCTTATCGATATTTCTATTCTCAATAGGTACGATATTTTAAAAATATCGATACTCGTCAAATGGCATCGATATTTTAAATCCATATTCGATACCAGTATCGATATGCTAATTTTTTTTGACGCCATCTGTTAACATTAAAGAAAATGACAAATAATACAATTTTAGTAATTTCATGAAATTATCCTGAGTTGTTGTGATGTGTAAGGATAGGATACCATGTAAAAAAAAAATTACCCACACTTACAATTATTTTGGTTACCAATACCATTCACAATTATTGCAATTGTAATTTGCAAAAAAATACAAAACATAAAGATTCTCTAGTTAAATTAACTGAGGATATTGAAAGTAAGCTTTTGTATTTTTATTGCTCACTAGCGTTGTTAGGAGTACTAAGATTTTAGGGCATATTCAAAGGGAGCACATTTAAAAAGCTTCAAAGCCCTTTTTGAGGCACCCCAAGCACTTTTGATGTGCTTCAAGCACTTTATAAATTACTTTGGGGGCTTTGTGCTTGCTAAGCACAAAGCACTTTGAGGGCTTTGTGCTTGTGAAGCACTTTTGAAAATAAAAAGGAATTTGTGCTTGAAATTGAAAGCACTTTGAGAAAGGGCTTAGGGCTTAGTGCTTCAAGCCCTTTCACTGAGGGTTTTGCCCAGCTCTGCATAGTCTAAGCTACTAAACAAGAGAATGAGCTGAGAAGCTATGCGCGCCGTATTTATATTAAAATACTGTTGACGATCGCATTTATGTGGGCGAAACCTTGATATGACGGTACTTTTCCAGGCGGGTTATCCTTTACTCAGCAGTTTTATAACATGTGGGCTTTCACAGTGGCGTATGCTTATATTTAACATTGGAAAGGAGAATCTGTGTTTATTTTTTGTATTCACAGAATGTCAAGAAGGCAAAGAAATTTTAGTGAAAGTGAAAAATTGGAAAGAAAACGGAGCAAATTATAGTGGGATTTGGAAATGCTAGACAGAAAGCAACGTCGCCGGGCTACCAGCTCGAGCTCGGATGAAAATACAAGTGAGAAAATAAGGTTTTTGTTTTCATTTTTTGACAAAATTATTGTGGGGTTGTCTTAGTGACCATGGGCGCACCATTTTTATTTTTGCATCACACGGGTGTTTTTTAAATAAATATTCGAATATATGCAAACTTAAAAATGGAGAAGCAAATTGGCACAAAACAATTAAACCAAAATATTCATTCTTCAAATTATTGAGACAGCTAGTGCTTTAGCAGAGACTAGAGAATGACTAGATGAGAGCTCAAAGCACTTGAACGATAACCTTGCAAAAGTTGTTTTTTTGAAGGTATAGTTATAATGGATTTCTTTTTGCAGCCAATCGCATTATTGGATGTACTGTCAAGAGGGGAGGAGTTGACGGGCCTGTTTCCAGATGTATCGGGTATCGGGCAAATAAATAAATATTTTAAAGTTGAAATTATTTCAATTTCCAAATTTGTTTAAACTAGTACCTAATGCTAATGTGTGAAATAGATTATTATGAATTGAATTTGAAGTATTAGTAACGCTTTGTTCTAGATTTTACCCAATTTTTTTCCGCATTCTTCAATTTGTGCTTGCCAAGCTCTACATGTAGTGGTGCCCTGTAAGACAATGAAGAGATACCTAAGTCTCATTCATTGGATGCTCGCTATAGTTGCATACAGTGCAACATAAGCGGAAGCATACCAAATCAGAGAAAAAGTTTGGTAAAAAGATTCAAAGCCTTTTTCTCTGACTTATTAATATTAATTAATAATGGATTTCTTCATAGTGTTACCAAATTGCCTCGAGAGCCCGGCCGGATTCTAGAAATGCAGTTGTCTGCGATTCGCGTAAACAATTCGGAGAATTCTATTCAAGTAGGGCGCCAGGTTTTATAAATGATATAAGTGAATTGTATAAAGTCAATAAGTTCAATAAAAGTTGTTACTACCAATGAAGTGAGTTTTAGTAAACCCGGAATCCGTGACAGTAATAATTGATAGGATTCCAAACATTTTCCTCTGATTTGGTTTGCTTTCGCTTATATGTTGCACTGATGAGAGCTGACAATCTCGAAACCGGGATGCAACCAGCGAGCATCCAATGAATGAGAATTCGGTTTCTCTTCATTGCCTTAAAGCCTATTTTGTGATCTGGCAGTGACCAGAAACAATGTTAGAATTAAAACCAATTCTATCTTTTTCCAGCTGCCGGTAGTAGAAACAAAACATTCAAAACGGTTTTCACCAGTCCCAGTCATGTGATGTTTACATCAAATGTCAACATGGTGGGAGAGACCTATAACTTTGAATTCTGGAGTTTGAAAGTTTCTCAAAATGAATCGAGAAGAGGAATTGTAATTCTTGTAAATTCAGAAAACTATTCTGAATCTCATGTTCTCATTTTTTGGTAGTAACAAAAATTGTCAGAAGTTTTTCGACTTTTCAATCTTTTTGTGTTATGTTTGAGATGTCTGCCCGTTTGAGCTGCACAAATACCCAAAATTAGTCCCCATCCGGCAATTTAATTCAGATTCTTCCTTCCATGAGATTTATTTCGAAAAAAAATACCTACTAGGTACAAGAAAAGCCCAACAAGACACAAAATCACCACCAAAAATGACAAAATGAGGAAGCAGGTTCTGTTTATGGTTTACTTTCTGAGAACTTCAAGTTAATATTATCCAATTTTTGGCGCAAACGGGAAATAAATCCTAAATGTCAAGTTTATAAATGCGTCTTTTACAGTTGATGCTTTTGTAGAAATTTTTTGGCTTTCATGCCGCCACTCTGTCAAAAATATTTTTTGAAAAATGTTCCAAAACTATAATAACCTGTTGGCTGCTCTTTTGCCACATTCTCTCAAATTTTATAAACAATAAACAATGAAAAAAAAAATTTGAAGTGATGACGTGCAAATTGGGTTGCCTATCTGGTAAGAAATGGATACTAATAAATTATAGATAATAGTAACGTGACTATCAGACAAGCATTGAAAATTGATACCTAGTGCAAACATAAATGGACCAAACAAATTTAAATTCAACTGCTAAAACGTTTTTCTTTTTAATAGAAATCGTAAATGATCAAAAAACGGTTTTCGGAAAAAAAAGCATTGATAATAGAACAGAAGTATTTATTTTACATAATAAACGAATAAAATAATTAAGCAGAAAGGTTTCGAATGAGTATGTAATTCGAAATCAAGGACTTAATTTCGCCTAAAGCGAATGGAGTGTGATGTCATAATGATATCATCGGGAAATGCTATTGTCGCGTATTGGCCGAAAAGAAACACATTTTAGTAACTCGATGTTGGTTTGTTTGTAGGCGCAAGTATTAATCAAGTAGACGAGGTATATCTCGGATATCAGTAGCACATGGGATGTGAAATTTTAATAGGTTATTATCCGTCGTTTCGCGTGTGCTTATAATTGTGTGTTTTAACGCCATCGCTGTATTCGCTGTTCCGTTCCGTGTGTTCTCTCCTACTGTTCAATGTTCTGTAGAATCAATAACAGCTGACGTCAGAGTTGTTCCATCGCGATATCAGTCAAGCGGTAGGGGGGAAGTGCACTTGTTTGTAACTTGGCTAGTAGTGTCATATTATATCCGCGCAAGTGGTTCTACAATGGTTCTTGTGTTTTGTGCGTGAATTTCTGCGATTGTGCCGTGTAAGTTCAATTATTTCAACTGTATTGGACTTGGTTTTAACTGTCAATTGTTCAAATTGTCCGCTGCGGACTCCGCTCCAACTGTGAATTTCTGCATATTTAAACAGCGTGCTGTGGCCTTCACCGGCGAACCTATTGTTGACATTGACGGGCTTTAAGGCAAAGATTGCTAAAGGCCAATAGAGGTCAACACTCAACAAATATTTGCAGTAAACGATACTTCAGTTTTACATGTAAGATTGCAGAAGACAATTTTCTTATCCATCATCTTTCACTTGCTTGCTTAGGTACTGGGCTAAGGGATTTCAGCTTTTATTAAGTTATGCTGCTGCGACCTGCAACCAGTGTGACCTCACTGCTGACACTTATCAAATTTACTACTATTATGTGGTGCATAATAAACATTTTAATACATGTATTTTTTAAAATTCAAATTTGTAAATAACCGCCTCTAATCTCTGAATAATTTCATTTATTACTTTTTTGTACAATTGAAAATTTAGGATTTGCAAAAAATAAATAACTTCATCCTGTCCAACAGTCAACAGTAGCAAAACAGGTTATATCAGTTCACTTCTTTGCATTAGCCTGAAAAAAAGCAATGAAAAATAATTTCAGCCAAGGCACATCAGCCTCTCTGGGTACTGTGTACTGTGATAAATGGTAATTAACCAGCGCAAACTTACTTTACATGCAACATCAACTTTTCAATGTAGCATCTGGATTATAAACTGAAACCGACAGACATGACATGAGCATACGAGAGGACGACGTCGCGCCGATTTGACTTTAGCAAGGCCAGCCTTTAGTATATCGAGTTTTCAAGATTTTATTGGTTGCGAACGATACAGTGGCGAAAAAAGGATTATCTTTCGCGCCTGAATTTGAAAAACGTCTTTGTGCCATATAATGGCGCTCATTTAAATTTTGACAGGACAGGAGTGGATTCAGTAGATCCATTGTAGATGCTGCAAAAAATATGAATAAGTTTCTGTGCCAAATTCAACTTCCCCCTTTTAACCCCCTAGCTCCCTGAGGCACTCCCTTAAAAATTCTAAATTCATATTAAGGGCGGTCAAGTGGTACTATTAGGTGTTTGTTTATAACTGGAACACTCAATACCTTTCTTATATTATTGAAAATAGAGGGCATCTTTAAGTTGGGAAATTTCTTGGTAAATTGCAACCTTAAGCGCTACAACGATATTTTTTTGTCGTCATAGGTATACAGGGTGCGCCAAAAAGGTATTTTTTCAAAAATGGAACGCCTTGTATATTTTTGTTATTTAAATAGTGTTTGATATGTTTGTGAGACTAATTTTCTAAGAATTTCAAAAATGCGAAAATATACAGGGCGTTCCATTTGAAAAAATGACTTTTTTGGCGCACCCTGTATTTCTATAGCGACAAAAAAATATCATTGTAGCGATTGAGATCGTTGCAATTTACCAAAAAATTTCCCAATTTAAACATGCCCTTTATTCTCAATAATAAAAAAGTTACTGAGTGTTCCAGTTATAAACAAACACCCTGTACATCTTTTCAAAGGTCTCTCGGCCCTTATTGGAACTGCCAAGCGTGAAGTATTTGCTGTCATTCCTGTTGATACGACAGCTTATCAAAATCTTTAAGAAAGTGTTTGTTTTTAATCAATAAATTATCATTTTCGAAAGTTAGCGACTTCAAATCTGGTGGTTAAAACAGGGTCGAGGACCTTTCAATTAAGCTATTATTTGAGTTTCAACTCAAATAAACTGCTGGACACTCGAACTTTCACATATACAAATTTTCAGACAAAATTCAAAGTTTCATATTTTCGACACGAATAAAGTTTTTTTAACGCAGTTTGTGGATTTTAATAGCCTGTTTTTTCCGGATAAAGCTTGCCGTAAATTTCTCATAGGACCGTAGGGTTATGATTATGATATACGGGGCGATAAAATTGAATTTTGCCTAAAAATCTGTATGTGTAAGTTCAAGTGTCCAGCAGTATATAAAAAATGCTGATATCCTATTCTTCTGACCCTCAACATACCACCCAGGCTTGAAGTCGCTACTGTTGTACAGCAACTTACTCCAAGATTCTGACAAGCTGCCATATCAATGGGGGTGACAGCAGAGACTTCAAACTTTTCAGACCTTTGAAATTTGACCACCCTCTCCATTCAAGATGTTTTAGAGGGTGGTTCGGGAGAGGCTAGGGAGATTTTACATAAAAACTCATCCTTTTCCAAATTATAGTTGACGTATTTCATGGATTTTTTCTTCCATCTTCCATTTCTGAGATAATAGGGGTGGGAAGTTTTCAAATTGAAACCCCGATAGCTGTATATATTAACTTAGCCGCTATTTGGCAGCTCCCGAAAAAGTATTTCCGAATCGTTCGAGACAACCCACTTGCTGTTAACCGAGCTGTTAACTGATATAACTTGTTATTTGGATGTTTTGTTTATATTGATGTTTAGAGTTAGGAAATTCATTTCGCAGCTTCAAGCTACAAAAAACGAATAAATTCTGGAGATAAATGCCTTAGTTCTGCTGCGCACGCGCATCCTTATCATTATAAATTGTGTCTAGTCTCCAGAAAGGGAAGGTGCCGGTAGCGATATACGCAATGACCTTGATGATCAAATTTCAAACCTTATTATCAATTAGCGGTTACTGGTTATGCTTTTTGAAGGTTTCAAAAACTGCCTTTTGAGGGACTCTTCCATTCCTTTCTCAGTCACATTGCGACAATGGATAATCTATCAAAAAGGTGAAGAATACAAAAATTGAACTTACGCAATTGGGTTTACAAATCATGATATGTCCAGACTTAGATATGTATAAAAAAATCCTTTTGTTTCTTGGGTCGGTACTGAGGTTTTTAATGAAAACTCAATTAAGGTATAGATTTTCCGACGTTTCGTCTGTCAGAATAGGCTCTTTGCTTTACAATAATAATCAAGTTTTAATTTTTTAATTAGATACCATAGTGAATTTTGCGAAATGATTTTTTTTCTGGTATATTATTTATGCAATAGCTGAAATTATAGGATATTTGAAAATGGATCTGTTGAATATAACGCAAATATTGCTCGAGTTCTCGCAGTCTTCATATTATCAATATTCTCTTCTAAAGCTGTTTGGCTGTATTGATTATATTTGAATTATGGATTATCCATCTCATTGGAACCTATTTAGAATTAGGTACATACATTGAAAATCCTTTCCATACATAAATCAATATTTTTTAATATGGGTGATTGAAAACATCGTTGTAGGAGAAATGTGGCTTGGCGCATCAAATATTTTCATTTTTTTTTATAGAAATAGAATCTTTCTTCTGCCTTTTTCCCACTTTTTCCAAGGATGTAAACTAGAGCTGGAAAAGCATGTGGGATTAGGGCTGATAACCACGAATGGGAATACCTAAATTATTTAAGTTTAAGTAATGCGATATTTAAGAGAAAAAAGAATGTGGGTTCAGGCCTAAAAGGTGTTATGAAGCTAGCAATATCTAAGATAACAAATCTTTGGAGTAATTAACAAATGGTAGCTGCGCTACTATTAAAAAAAATGGTAAAACTCGGGGAGTTCCATAGGGGTCTATTTTGTGCCCTATCAATATTGGCAGCAGAAAACTTTCCCGCTTTGTGCGAAAAAGCTCCGCAGGACAGGAATGCGGTGTTTGCTCTAAGCAATAAGGCAAGCAAAATGTTCCGTTTGCTACCCCACCCCCAAATATCAGACAGGTATCAAATCAGATTGCGATTTTAGAAAAGCCATGGCCTGTTCTGTTACCTGCTGGAGAAATGTATCTACCTATATAACTTCGCTGTTGACATTTTTTTATTGCGTTGTTTTTTTCTGTTATATTGATTGTGTTTAAGCATTTTAATTGTGTGAGTTTGTAAATTCATTAATCCTATGTATATGGCGGAAATTGAGGCGGAAATACTTGTTTAGACCTATATTGATTTTACGATGTTAGTGTAGAATATTTTATAAATTCAAAACATTATTATTTTTAAGATGTAATAAGGGTTGTTGGTCCTCTTGATCCATTTTGACGTTGTCTATTATTAATATGTCTTGTCTATGTCTAATGTCTATATTGTCTATGTCTATGTCTATGTCTGTCTATGTTTATGTCTATGTCTATGTCTATGTCTATGTCTATGTCTATGTCTATGTCTATGTCTATGTCTATGTCTATGTCTATGTCTATGTCTATTTGTCTATGTTTATGTTTAAGTTTATGTCTATGTCTATGTATATATTGTCTATATCCATATCTTTGCCTATTGTTTGTAGATTGTGCTAGCAATAAAAGAAATTTTATTATTATGAATACTAGTTGATAGGCCTGACTCTGCCAGGCAATGTAAATAAAATTGTTTGTCATATTAACAGAAGAATGTGTACGATCTAGAATGACTAAAAAATTATTTTTTTCCGCCACGCCAGGCAACTGGAAAAAAATTGGACACCTTTTTTTTAGTGGTCAATTTCAATTTTTCGGGTTTTTTAACTGAAGAAAATTATTTAGCAACACTAACTCTATGCGAAAACTCGACGAGCGTGGATGGGGTTCGACTTTCGACTTCGACTTAGGATTAGAGATAAAACGCGCAAAAAGTCCGCGGTAAAACCCATTTTTTGCCCTAATTATTTTTCTAGAACGAAATTGGGAAATCTGGCTCCGTTAGGTTCTAGCCAGTATCAGAAAAAAGAACTATTCCAAATTTGAGAATTCTAGCTCAAATATGTAGATTATTACTTCCTAGACTTAGTCAAATGATATTTGCGCTCCCTTTATGAAAAACATTCACTCATCCCAGGTAGGTAAACATGTAATGCCAAAAGGTTTGAGTTCTGTGGGGTTTAAGTTCTTGATGCTATTCAAAAGGCACTAAAAATTATTGGTAAATACAGGATCGATTCCTCAAACTTCCATTGCAGCTGTACCTGAATGTTTAGACCTATGTAATTGGCACTTTTTTCATCGTGTTTTGACCATCAGTTGGACATTATAATAACAAGGATAAAACCAGGTATTTAAGGGCAATCTTGGAAATCAAAAATGGCAATAACCTCGGCAATAACAACCTGACGTTATAATATTTAATAATTTGCAGTTTCAATATTGCTTGTTGGAGCGATAATAACGTCATTTTCAGAAGGTGTTTTGGCGCTCGAAATGCTGCCTCAAAAGTAGGAATTTTTATTTAAAACAAAAAACTAACGACAACTTAAATGTTCCCCAAAATAGTGTTAATATACCTACTTAATTTGGGTTCTAGATTTTGAATTAAAAAAACAAAACACTAAAATATTTCGCTTGTTTCGAATGCTAAATCCATATGCAGTATTATCCATCGGTGTGATATAGAGTGCATTTCCAAACAGAGTGGGCTGTGAGAATCCCCCTGAAAGATTCCATTCTCAGAGTGAATATCTGGAGTTCAATTTTGGTTTTATGGATGGCAGTTGATTAGCGTTTGGACGAAATAAAGACTATATTCACATTTTTATGCATACAAATTAATTTGGGTTGTCTTTTCGGGCTAAGCAGTCCACATCTTAGGAGAAGGGAATTCAGTGGTCAATGCAGTACCTCTACCTGGTGCATGATTTTGTATTTTCGTCTGAAAGGCATCATTTCTAAAGTGCATCGTGGGTATGGTGATGTGAGCGTCCTGGTGTTAAGAGTGGAAAATATTTTTGTCCGTTTTTGATGGACTTCTCGTAGGAACCATCCATCAGAAAGAACTACAGTTGACCCAAAAATACCCAAAATCATGATAGGCTCTACAGACTTACAGTGACTCTATTGAGCCACAGTGGCAACAAATGCTAATTTTTGATTGGTTCTTTAAAATCCTATATATTCATATGGGAAACGTCGCCATTTTGTGCCCACCCTTTGGTAAATTTGAATAAGAATATATAGAATTTGAATGCACATCCATCGTAAAAAATTGGAAACAACGTATTTGATGATTATATTTTTTATGATGGATGTCCATATGAATCCTATTAATTCATATTCAAATTTACCAAAGGGTTGGCACAAAATGGCGGCGAGACCTCCATTGTTGCCACTGTTTGTAAAGGTTTATTTAGCCACTGTACTGTAATAGGCTTTTGGCCGTAGCGCCATCTAGGGCATTAATACGGTACTAGTCAACGCTCCGTAGCACCGGTAAACGTCTCTGTAAAGTTGGTCTCGTTCATTTTACCATCTCAATGACCTAATTTCGGGAATCGATAATCGATGTTCACAATAATACCAAAAACTTTATCTCTCCTGCCAGAGCAAGTTTATTTATTATTGGTCTTTATTTTACTTTGCGGTATTTTCTAATTATTGCTCTCATGTACTTCGATTTGCGTCAGAATTTTTCTGGTGGTAGGTGAAATTTTATATTAATATAATAATTTGTCAATTCTCCATTTCGGACGTCCATCGCGATAATTATATATTAGGTACGGTTTCAAGTTCAATAAATGAATGCCCAAATGACACTGTTTCTATTGGATTATTTATTGAAAATAATATCTAAGTAAATTTAAAGGCACAAATTTATACCAAACTGAAATGAAATTCAAGCTATAAGTTACGAATATGGCAATTTAAATGAAAATAAGTATCAAATTTCCCTTCATAAAACATAGGTATAGCCTATTCCAAGTTATATCAATCTCATTCACATCTTACTTTTGTTTATTTACTCCAAAACTCAGCATACAAAGAAAAAGTAGGTACCTACATAAAAATAATAATTTTCCGTTCCTAAAAAAGGTATTCTGTCTATAGCATCTTCGAAGTTGCGATTTTTTGCTCGACTCATAATGTTTATTGGATGTTTCTAAATTAATCAAAGTCAAGATTTGGTAGTAAGTTTGCCTTTCTGAATTTTTGATTTGATCAAATATCATAAACCTTTTCATCTAGAATGTTCTGCGTGAAATTAGCTGGTGTACTATTTGGACCCAAATACTCGCGGAAATTCTCATTTGTTGTTTTTATTCCAAAACAGGTATCTATGTATCACTATAGTTATTTGAAAATTTTGAATCCGTGAAAGTTAATTTTTCATAATAAATAGCTAAAGGTTAATAAGTAGGCAGTTGAAAATAAACATGTTGTTCCCTGGGGTGTTCCATTCAAAGTTCGAAAGTTGAGGTCGTCTACGGTCAAATTGGGAAAAAAATGCATATTAACGACTTCTAGTTCTAACTACCAGATGACATAATGAAAAAGTTATAAAGGCGAGGCGAGCGTAATTCAGATACACCTGATACCTTGATCCTTGATTTTCAATATTGTTATTTAAATTGCCTGACTATTGCTATTGGTTATATTGTGGTTTTGAGTGACTTAGGTATAATGGAATAATTTCTAATGTTTTTTTTATGATCACGGAATAATGGGGATGTTTCCTACATTCTTAAAACACATTTTAATATATGCGAATCGATAGATTGCAATATACATTTTTAATAGAAATAATATTTTGCGTTCTCTACCTGTTCTTTGCTACCTTTTTTAGGCTGTTGATAAGGACAATATTTTCGAATGCCTTCACTTTTACCGCCATTTCAATTATTCAATCAGCAACAATCAACAAAATGTTGTGACATGCAGTGTTGCCAGATTTTTTAACCTAAGATTCGCTATTCAAATGTCACCTGTTATATTGATGGATTTATCGGATTTTCTAACTTTATTTGTTAATTGTTATTGATAAATAGAAATAAATATAAAAGCACTGATTTTACAAATATTTAAACTTCCAAAACCAATAATTTTAGAAAGAAAACATTCAAATAAGAAGTACCTAAATAAATGAAGAAATTTTTTCCGTAATTCCTTCTCAAAGGGCACAACCACAAACAATTTATTCGGTGTTTTATAGGAGATATTATTACAGCTTGGCAGGAAACATCTTTTTATTGCCATTATTGTCTACACTATGTAAATACGCAACGCAAATGACAAAAATAATAATTTTTTAAGGTTATGTGTTAAACAAAAACAACTTTAGCCGATAACACTGGCAACATCGCCAGTTACTTATCTTTATTCAAGATATATTTTCAAAAAACAATAATTACATGATTTTTGCATCTATGTATTTTTATTATTGGTTCACATAAATAATCAATTGCATGCTTACTCAAAATTTTTTAAATGATAATTATACTTTATATAATTCAAAAAGTACAAACTGTCAACATCCTAAAACAGTTAAACGCATGAGCAGAAACCTTAGTGACGTCAGAAAGGGTTTTGTTTGAATGAGGTGCATTTTTCAAAAATTAGAATAAAAAAAAAATAGGGAACGCAGAAAAAAAAAGAATGCACATTAAGGATAAGCAAGCAAAATACTATACAATAGGCGAAAAAAAAAATCTGGAACATGCCCATTAACAAAAGCACATGCAGATTTTAATGGATTGATACGACAAATAGCTACATTCTTTTTCTAGTCACTCGAGCAAATTACAACCTGCCTGACCTTACGAAAAATTAAGAAAATTGAAAATTTAGAGGAAGGAAGCGGTTTTATGGCAAATATGTAAATGTTATGTAAAAAGAGTATGTCAATGTAAAATATCAGATACTGTTAGGTTCAGCAGTTTAACATAATATATTTTTTAATTTCATTCATTTTCATATGTATTGTTCCTTGGCACGTTTTGGTTATGCCTACATAACTTACATGTTTTCTTCTTGCAGGTTCTCACTCGACTCTACGTTATGAATTTGAATGACTTCATTGTGAAGGTAAGTGTCAAGAAACGCTTCAATTTTTTATATTTATTAACTGCCGAAAAATTTACATTCCATGAATAAATGGAACGCTGTGTACAATAGGGTATTCTCCTATATTTTTACAGCCCAACTAGCGGTAATTTGAGAAGTATTAGAAAAAAAAGTAACAAAAATAGAATTTTGCGGTCCTTTTGAGCTATTTTTGTTTGGCTATGATAATTCAAAATTTTGTATATTCACTCATATTTAGAAAGGAGCTAGGTAGGTACCTACCTACTTTCGATATATTTCATTCATTCTTCTCTAAAAGTGGTAACGTCGACCAATAAAGTAATGTCCCGAATATTAACAATTCATCGGTCGGGTTTATGAAAAAGAAATTGTTTAAAATAATTATATAATTTTTTTTATTGAGATTAATTTTATGATTGCTCTGTAGCTAATAAAAAAAACTGATAGTCAAATGCTTCTGTTTTAGAAGGCAGTACATTTTTAGTCCAGAACATTCACTTAATTGGCCGACTGATAAAACATCATCATCATCATAATAGTGTGGGGCTGAGTGGTGAACCTTGTTGCACGCCTGCTTGGATCTGTCTGGTTGTTGATCTGGTCGTGGAGCTTGTAGCTCCGTCTAGAATTACGCAGAAGTTTCTGTCGCTTGGGAATGATTCAATTAGTTTGACCAAGTCAACGACGTAGCTATAGCTTTTACATGGGGGGGGGGGGTTTAGAGCAGTGGCGGCTCGGGGTCTATGCTGCAAAGGGTTTCAATTTTAGACCCGACAATGTATAGGTATAACCTGGCATAGCCGCCGGAGGATATCGCCGAAGGCGAAACATTTTTTCGGGTTCCACGCCCAAAAACGTTTATTTTTCTTTAAAAAAAAATTTATTCATGTCAAAGGGGGACCACCCCAAACCCCCCCCCCCCCCCCCCCTTATATACCTTGGACCAAGTAGTGAGGTACATTGGCTCTTAGCAGTTTGATTATCAGGCCTTGGTGCCACATTCTGTCGAAGGCCTTAGCTATGTCTAGGAACACCGCTCCTGTTTCCAGTCTCCTGCTGGCTCCTCACTGTAAGTGAGTTTGGTGGCCTGGTGGGTTGTGCAGTGATGTTGTCTGAAGCCCATTTGTTCATTTGGCAGCAGTTTGAGGTGATTGATGGTGTCCTGTAGTTCTCTTTCGCTCGGTCACTTTGCCTAGCGCTGGGAGCAGCTTGGTTCGTGGCTTGGGATCGTTGCTTGGTTCTCCTTGTTTTCTGAACAGTATTATGCTGGCTTCTTTCCACTTTGATGGAAAGTGGGATAGATTGAATATGGCTTGTGTTTTTGGTTAGGTCCTGTAATTGTCTTGGGGACAGCTTCTTTGAGGCCATATTGGTAATGCTGTCTTTTCCTGGGTCGGAATAGGTCTTTGCCTGTACAATGGATGGTGTCGAGCTTGTCTTGCCATTGGTCATTATAGCATTCGTTGACTTGAATGCGTATTCGTCGGTTCATTCTGTTGAGCTGCCTTTGGAGGTAGGTGTCTCTTGTTCTTATAGCAATTTTTCGCAGTGTGTTCCTGCTGCGGATATCTTCCATTGTGGAAGAAGTTTTGTGCTTCGTTAAGGGCTTGTTCAATGTTTGCCGTTAGCGTGACCACAGTCATTTTTAGCTCCGGTATGGTGGTTATCTCTCTCAGAGCTTCTTGCCTTTCCAAGTATCTTTGCTAGGTGTTCCACTTAATAAATATGGAGCGCATTCTGTTGCGTGTTCGCTCCGCCGGGTCACCATACTCGATGGCTACCGGGAGGTGGTCTGAAGAGAGCTGGTGACGTACTTGTGGTTGAGATACTGGGTGGATGTTTTTGTGTACGAACAGATCTAGTACACTTGGTGAGCCGTGTTGCCTCATTCGAGTAGGTTCGTCCGGGAGCTAGATGTTGTAGTCAAGTCGTTCAGCGTTTTCTTGCATGTTCAATGAGCACCGCCTAGTTTTGGTCGCCGAAGAGTGCGTCCAGTTGTGCTGCTGTGATTTCTTTGTTTGGTTGCACATAGACGGATTCGATCACTAGTGTTTGCCTGTTCACTTTTATTGCTGCGAATGCTTCAATTTGGTCGCTTTCGTTTCGCAGTTCATAATACGGGATGGTGGATTTAATGGCGAGCAGCGTTCCGCCGCCCCAGCCTTCTCTGTCTTGTCGTAGGATCCTGTAGTTTGGCAGCGTGAACCGGTGGGTTGGTTTTAGAATCGTCTCTTGTATCAACAATATGTCGATTTGTTGCTCTTGCAGGAATTGAGACAATTCTAGCTTCTTCTGTTTGACTGAGCTTGCATTCCACGTGGCTATTTTGCAGTATTTGATCGTTCTTTGGGGACGAGTAACCATTCAGTGGTGTGTTTCTTGATTTAGAGTCTACTATGGCGTTCAGCTGCTGCTGAATTGATTGCATTTGTTACATTATAGCTTCCAAGGAAGCTTGAGTCGTGGCAGTATGGTTCGTTGGTCGTTGTGGCGGAGTTAGTCGTTGTTGCGGAGCCTCCATGAAATTCGTTCTTTTTTGCTGTCCCTATACGAAGTTGGATGAGGGGACTGGCTTGTACATCGGTTTTCTTAGGGGTTTGGGGTGCTTGAGGCAGCCCTGATAGGATGCAGGATGAGCGTCGCCGCAATTTGCGCAGGTAGCTGCAGTGTCTTTGGTTTTGGTGCAAGTGGTCGAGTGGTGGTCATCCGCACACTTCACCCACTTGGGGAGGGCCCGGCACCTAGATTCGAAGTGCCCATGTAGTTGGCACCGGTGGCACTCGGTTGATCTTTCCTGTGACTTCTGTGTTTCAAATCTGATTTTCACATAGTTGATGGTCGTAATTTTGTAGATGGCGGTTTCCGAGGCTAGGACCAGTACTAGGACTAGAGGTAGTGGTTCGCCGTCGGCTTTGTAGCACCTTATTACATTGGTAGGGTGCTAGTGTCCATCTTCTAACTGTTGTTTGATGTAGTCTGTCGACCCCGTTTCTGGCGGACCTCTGAGGACGACTCTAAGTTTTTTGTCTTCTGGGAACCTGAATGTATGGGAAGGTTCCTTGTTTTTCTCCAGCAAAGCTCGGATTTTTCGGAAGTCGTCCACTGTAGGGGGTAGATTTTGATCCCTTCGCTGGTGTTTGTAGCGTTTCCGAAGTTGATTTGGTTCAGCTTGAAATGGGCGGTTAGGTCGTTGTATTTTGACCTGTTTCGTAGGTTAATCGGAGGAACTCGCTCCTGTTTTAGTGGCTGGCTTACTGTCGTTGGGGCGATTGAGGGTGGCTTAAGCTGAAAGCCTTTTCTGGCGGGGGCATGGGGAGTAAGTCTAGTTTGTTGACTTACGATTTTCGTGGATGTCGCTGGCTCCTCATCCATCGTAGCCGAGTCTTGTTGATTGGCTCGCTGTTTTTTGGGTGGTTGTGCGGATTCGTCACTGCTGTTTGACTTGGCTCGGCGGCGTCTGTTTTTGCGTTTTGATGACGCAAAGTCGTCGTTCTCGTTCCCCTGGTTCAGGGATTCGTTGTCACTAGAGGAGCTGTCTGCTATCCCCATATTTTGCTTCGTGACCAGCTTGGACAAGCAGCGTATTTCGGCGGTCTTCACATTGTCGGCAGTATGGAACGCGCTGGCCGCGAGTTTAAGCTTCAAGTTTTCGCTTTTGACTTGTTCCAGCTCTTGTTTTAGGTTGGCATTGTCTGTCTGCAATTGTACTAGGTCACTTTTCAGAGCCTCGTTGTCCTTTTGCAGCTCTTCCAGTTGGCGGGCTACCTTGGCTTACACTTCTTCTAGCGTCCGGTTTGACATCTTGGAAGTAGTTGGTCGAAGACACACTCAAATTGATTCACTGACTTTAACTTTTCGCACTTGGAAAACAATGGCAGCTTGGTTTGGCTTTGAGAAATGGCACTAGTCAACATTTCCCTCGGCGCAAACAAACTTAGCAGAATTGAGATCTCTCTTGGTGAAAACGTGTTACCACTTTGAGAGCTCAGCTCGGAATCGTTGGGTATGGTGTCAGTAATCCATATTTAACTTATTAGGATGTGAGTTTGGGCGCCTAGTGTGGGGCGAGGCCTCCTTGCTCAAAAAATTCGGCAGGAATGCCATCAGTACCAGCTGACTTATATTTCTTTAGTTGTCTGATTGCCTTTCCAACCACCTCTAATCTAGGAACCTCACTTAGTTTTTGTTATATTTGTTTTTGTGGAATTTTGTTGAAGATATCGTCAATAATTTGTGATTTTCTGTTAAGTAGTCTCTGTAAAGTGTTCCTTCCAACGAGAACTAATGGAGGAACTGCTTTAAAGCAGTCTTGTGCCATCTTTGGATCGTGGGGGTTTGAGTCCTTGAGTTGGTCCGTATACGATCTTAGTAGTCTGAAAGAATCCCTGGTGCTGTTGGATTCAGTTAGTTGCTGCCTTTCGTTCGATTTTCTTATCCACCATTGATTCTTTAATGCTTGCGTTTGCCTTTGAACTTCTGATTTTGCTTGTTGGTATTGCCTTTTTTCTCAGTACAGCTGGGGTCGCTTTTCCATGCATTATGCGCTTCTTCTTTCTTTCTATGAGGTCTTGGAATTCCGAGTCGTTCTCATCAAACCAGTCTTGATGTTTCTGCTGCCTTTGGCCGACCGTTTCTTCCGAGGCATCAGATGTTATTGCAGTACTTTCCAGTGCTCCTCATTGCTACTCCAACGGAACTTTCTGGCTTGAAGAGGCTTGGAAGTTTGTTCTGATTTGGATGGTCTTGAAGGCGGTCTTTGTTAAATTTGCGTTTGAACTGCTTATTTTGACATCTACGATTTGGGGCCACATCATTCCGATCTCTAGAACGTACAATTATATAATCGATTAGATTAGATGCTAGTGCTTTGAACTATAGGGTATTGTCAGGATGCCTCGAATTTATTGTTTTGTCGAAAAAGTGTATTTGTTGTTACAAGGTCATGTTCTGAGCATGTGGTTACTAGGCGAAGTCCGTTCGAGTTCATTTTTCCGACTCCT